TTCAGTTGGGAAATTATGGAAACTGACCTAAGGTTTAGCCTAATTACAAAAGATGCCAGTATATCTTCCCCAACTGCAATATATACCATTGAGGTTTGGTATTTCATATTTGTTGTCAAATACCCTCTCATTTTGAGGGTGCACTTATTTCATAAGCCAGATTTGTTGGGATTACTTGTATTTTAGAAAGTAGCTGGAATTTTATGTAATTAAACACAATTTTGGGATAGCTGGTTCACTTAACCATTCTTCTGCCCCATTTACCTGTACACACACTAAAGAGAAAAAGAAATATAGAGATATGCTGATACAAAATAGGGGAAGCTGATTGTGGTGAGAATCTTTTGTTCCTTGCTTTAGTGTTACACTGTTATGCATTTTTATATTATTTTATTTTATTTCTGATTCAATTAGCAGATAGAATTTTTCTTGGTAGGAAAATGACAAAAATGTATTTGTGTCAACTTGCAAAAGTAATGGTTTTGTGGCCTGTGGGTGCATGGAGTTGGCTTTTGTTTCTGGTCCAAATCATTCTCGAATAGGCCAAACCTGCTTGGTAGTGTATTTGCTCAAGTTTCTTCTCATTCAAGTATATAAATTTGATAGTAAGAATATTTTGTAAATTTTCCATTGTCCCTAATTGTTTGGAGTATATATGCAGCCAAATCCCTGATTTTCTATCTTGGGATGCACATAATTTGTGATTTGTTCATCCAGATTAAAAACAGCTTGTCCCTGTCAATCTTGAAAATCAGTTCTGCTATCAAATAAGAATTTGATATAAGTCATTTAAATAAGTATTTATTTGCTTAATATCATCATTGCCTCTACACAAAATCACTTTGAATTCTGAAATACAATAATACAACGGCAAGATTTTTATTGGAACAATGGAACTGATAAGTGATAACTACAATCCACGATATCCTCTTCAGAGTTTAGCTATCAAACCAGATGACATAGGCTTAGATACGTCATTCTCCTTGACGTCATTATCTTTCGCATCCGCATCACAAGTATTTGGCGGCACATCAACTGCAGGCGAACAGTTGAAAAATCCATGTGGCTGCAAGCAAGCAAACAGCAGAACACTTGTTTTAACTCTAAAGCACACACTTTGTAAAAAGGTAAGTGTGGTAAATTGGTAAATGTGATGTATTCGAAAACAAACATACTTGAAGCACAAAACCAATGTGTTCGACCGGCATAACAGGCCAGTCTTCCAAGCGAGGAACGTGTGTAATTCCAAAAACATACCTACATGAACCAAATGATAAGTGAGGAAAAAAGGTTCTAGCAATGTAGAATAATGCCTTTATTTAAAAATTAGCTTCATTTACCCCANAAAAAAAAAAAAAAAAAAAAAAAAATCGAGCTTTGTTCAGGAGACCAACCAGAGTACAATATTAGTTTCTTCGAGAGGCCGATTTCGCTTGACCCAAGAAGCCAACCCTTCCCCAACACGCGGATTCTGGTTAGGAAACTCTCCTCCAGGAAAGTCCTCCCCACGTGCGTATGGCGTAACCCATAAGTTGTGCTTCAAAAATGCACCTCTTCTTAAAAATTTGGCCTCAGGGCCGGCAAACGGCAAACAATTCGAACCAGGCACCAACTTGTAGCCTGTTAGCTGTCCGCTCCTATTCACGGTTCTGGTGTTTCTAATCTGTAATTGTCAGTGGACAAAACTAATACCAGAAACTCGTATATCTTCAAAGCTATAACTTTGAGTGCTATATGTTTTCAAGAAATCTGATGAGCACAGACTACAATAGAACTTTCCACCTAAAGGATAATTTTAGCTTGGTAATTATTAATTATTGATTTTTTTATGAAAATGAGCAGGTGAGGTTTCTTACAATCCAGTGGCGGGCGGATAATGGATCACAATCACGCATGGCTTCCAATTCGGATCTAAGTAAAGTCTCTTCAGCGTAGAATGCATTGTTGTGAAGATTATCCTTCCCTGGTTCTTCAATTCTCATGTTCACTTCAACTACCTACAAATGATGGCCAAAAATAATAGTAATACTTGTTAGTTATTGAAAGAGGACCTCGATGAGCACAATTTATTGTCTCCAAATAAAGTTTGAATAAAGAACCATCTTCTTAATATCAATGTCAATCCTGGAATCAACAAAGTTATGAAGTTAAGATCACAAACCTGATTATGTGTTTCTCCAGGTCTACTGTCAACCGCCATGTCCATACGAGCAACAAAAAAGTGTTGGTGAACTGGGGCATACAGTCCTGGGGCAATTGATGTGCCATATTTTCTAGATTCTCCTGGTTGAAGTGCTCCTAAACTAAGGATTCCAGTAAGTTTAACCTCAGCTTCGATTTTCCCGTCCTGTACCAATGTACTAAACAGATTAGAATGCAAGAGAATAAAAAAAAAAAAATTATTGATCGGATCACAGGATTAAAGTTTTTTACAATTGAAAGAAAAAGAAAGGTTGAAGGTCCCTCTAACTGGTCAGAAAGAGGTGTGGTACCCAGAAAAAAGAAAGAAAATGAAAAAGAAAAAAAAGGAGGATGGATATTACTTGTTCATTATACTTGTTTTACTTGGTAAAACCAGAATACTTGGAAATTTTTATTGTATTTTACTGCTGAGTCGTTTCTCTTTCTTTGCTGTTGTTATGACTTGTATTATCAAGTTATCATACAAGGATGTATAGCTAGATCCGAGCAAGTTCCATTTTACAAATACGAGATTGATAATTCAAGCTTCCTAACTTTACTTTTATCACATGCATATGTAATAAAAATGAAACTCTTAATACTTGCCTGATAAAAGTACCAGTAGAATCCATATTCATAATTGGCCACTGTGCAAATAAAAGAAACAGACAGACGCCTTGATCTCCGAACTTCTGTAAGGCCAGTTCTCCAGTCTTGATGCTTCCATAAGATCCCATGATCTTCTTCGTGCAAGCATACACAGTTTTCGGTAGTTTCAACTCCTCCAGTGAAATTTGTGAAATGTGCATCAAAGTACTTTACATATCCCAGACAATCGCAACCCTGAAATTGAATAGAGTGCCAATTGGACGGAAAAATCAATGTGTGCCACAACAAGCCATGAGATTCGCCTAGTTATTGAGAAATGGAAAAATATTGATGTTTGACAAAGACAAATGACCCCTGACAGTAGTTTCTCTTTCACAAAACCCGCCCTGAAGATGGATGCTTGTGCTAGTAAAGACAAACTTTCAATTAAAAAGGGTGGTGCTTAAAGCAAGCTAATGAGGTTTTGTAATTATGAAATATAACTGCAGTTAAGTGTCCTTACAATTGAAAACATGAAGGTAGCAAAGACCCAGAAAAGCAGGGATACCTTCTTAAGAGAATGAGCATTCTTCCCGAGGCCATCTTCCCCAGCATCAAATGCATTCTTTCTGTAATGTGGATCATTGGGATCTCCATATGGCACAACCATCTCCACAAAACTCAACCTATGAGCAATAGGTCTACGACCTCGACTGCCATCAACATAGGCAACAGAATGAATGACCAAACCCTCCCTCGGAGTGAAACCAATGCGGAAGTTCCACTGCGGACCAGCATTAGACACACTCCTGTTAGACAGTGATCTTAAAGATAAAAAATAATACACACACATAAGATGTGGTTTAAACCACACCTTGTAATCATGATGCTATTTTTAATCAATTACCAACAACAACAAAAACATAGCCTTTAGTCCCAAGCAAGTCGGGGTAGGCTAGAGATGAAACCCAAGAGATACACAAAAAGACTCGAACCAAAAGGAAGAGATAATTTTTAATCAATTACCAAACAATGAAAACTCTAAGAAAAAACTCTTAAAAAAAACAAAAACTAAAAGGCTAAAACCTCAAAAAAAAAGAAAGTTTAAAGAAAAATAAGAAAATAAAAGGATGGGGTAAATATCCTAGAAGCTTGAGGGTTAAAAAAATCCTGAAAATAAAGTTTTGGTTTGGGCTCCATTTTATGGCACGTCTTTGCATGCAGCAACAATTCCATCTAAATTTGCAATCAATTAAAGAACCAAAATGAGCCAAAACAAATAAATAAATTACCTTCTGCCACTCTACGTAATGTCCTTTAATCCGATAACTCGGACCTTCAGATTGAACAATTTGAAGAGATTTCACATCACTTCTATCCACACCGCCTCTTGTTTCACCAGGTGTATAGTTTCTCAGTGGATCTGCTGGAGGTAAGGGAACTAGCTTACGGTCTTCAAACTCAATTACTACCATGTTTTGCATATCAACTAGTACATGTATCCCTTCAACAGGCCGGGCATATCCATTTTCCAGCGGGCAGTCACTCTCTGTTCGGCAAAAGATAAGTGGTTTCGCAAGCCTACGCTTGGGGGCATCAGCCTCACTATGGTAACCAACACACCTACAATGGGCATTTGTCAGCAGCAAGACCTTAGGTACTTAATTGGCATTATTACGGAGCACATTGATTGGAGTTCTACTAACCAAGGATCAACCATTACTAGATCCATATCGTCAATGCCCCTCCTCTTCATGGCTTCTATAAAAGGAGGATAATCCTTGACAACAGCTTCACATTCAGCATATTCTGCAGCATCCTACATTTAAGAAAAATGAAGGAATAGGTTCAAATGAGAATATAGAGTTCTTGTAAGTATTTCAAGCTTGAGTCGAGGATGTTATATCATCAATGACCAAAACAACTTGTTGAATTATAATAAGCATCCATTTGCAGAAATACCATTGGTGGCTGAACATCCGGGACAACTGTGGAAGAAATCACTTTTCCCCTATGATGGCCCCCTCGAGTTGTAGCATGTACTTCAGACAGCTCAACAATCCACACGCTAGTCTCGTTGGACCTTTTGTTGTAGACTACTAATCTAGCTCTCCTTGGAGGGAGTTTACTAGGAATTACCGGTCCTCCTTTTGTCCTAGGCAATAATGAAGGCTGAAAAGGGGGAAAGAAATAAGCATCGGCCAGTGCCACCACATTTTTATCTGGCTCAAGTAAAACCACTTCAATGAACCGCATGCTATCTCTGAGCTGGAAGGAGAAGAAGATATCAGTTACTCGATTTGGTGATTGCATACATATCATATTCTAAATGAACAAAATGAATGAAAGGTGATTATGAACCTCAGGGGTGGCTCCAGCTGCCCTTACTGTTCCCACGGCTACAGAGATTTCAGCACCAGATAAAGGATCCAAAGGATGTTTAGTTTGAGCCCTTGGCATTAGCTGGATCCCTAAGTACGTATGGATTTAGTTAAAACAGTGAGTCTTCTACAAAAAAAAGTCAAGTTGAAACTAGATGAAACATTTACAGAGGTTCATCCATACTCTAATTCTTTCAATTACACAAATGCGAGAAAAAAAGGACAGGAAAGCTGACATCCACAGCTACTTAGTGAATATCCCCGGGATGCCAGTAATGAACAAAAGAAACGCACATAAAACAGTTCAGATCCGATTCGTCTTTTTTTCCTATCCAACACGGAAAATAGCTCCAACCTATTTGTGACACAAAGAACCTTTACTGAAAAAATATGATAACGACAATCCATCACAATAAGCAAACCCAACATCCATGTTTTATATTTTTTATTTTTACATCAAACCTGGATTTGATTATTCATACTGAAATATGAAAAATGCTATTATCATGGTAAAGTAATATTTCAATTGTCAAGACAAGCAAGGAGCAATTGTTTTCGCGTCGTTTGATAGCATAACAAAGTTTGATGCAAAAGCCGGGAAGAGACTGTGCAATAAAACTGCATAGTGGTCAGTTTATACACCTCACTCAGAGAATGATTACTTCTAATGTAGCTGATGATCAGGCATTTTCCCACATACCAAAATTCTAGGAACAAAAGGAGAAACTTTTGTTTCCCCTCAAGCCAAGGTTAACTATTTTTTTTTTCTGCCAATCATGCTCATTCCAGGACCTTAAAGTTGACAATAAACAAAAAGGATATATCTCCAATAGTTCTATTATAGTCAACAATAGACAATAAATTACGCACAAGTATTAAATGCACAACACACCTTTCCAACACAAGTAAATAATTTAAGGAATCAGCCTCAGAGCCATAACAAAAGAAAGCAGGAATCTAAAATACCAGCAACAAAAACAGATAAAAGAGAGAGCCAAAAAAACCTTTAGTTGGAGCTTTACTAGAAGGATCGACTAGTATCAAGGACGCCAAATTCTTGCTCTGCAGATCTTCAGCGGTAGACGGGACGCCCCAATCAGCCGCGGAAGCATTCTCACGGCGGACGACGGCGGCGGCTGAATCTCCGGCGGCTGTGGGTGCGAAGCTAACAGAATTCTTTGCTTCTTTCGGAGCTGTGGCCATTACAATTGATCGGCAAGCTCACCGGATCCACCACCGCCAAGCACGTCGCAGTCCACTTAAAAAAGGCAAGCACTGGAACTCCTGGCACCACCACCGGTTCAAGCACCAGCAACTACGCGGCCACCACAGGTTAGTAGACACAGAATCCTGCTTGTATAGGTGCAGAAAGTGATCAGTAGCGACAAAGTGTAAGCTAGAGACAAGGCTATGTGTGTGTAGAGAGGAGAAGGAATCACGGAAAAAAGAAAGATAAAATCAGCAACAGTGATACTGTATTGGTCATTTTTGTATATTTCATATTTTGTACGGGTTGGTCAATAATATGACACGAAATTTAGTCAAGCAAGTAACAACTATTTTGTCCTTAACCGAACTCTCTCTCAGAAGAAGAGGAGGAAAAAAAAAAGCTTCGTATCTAAATTTTTTTGGCCTCCCCTCCTTCCTCCGCCGAGGCCAGCAATCTCGCCCCCTCCTGCCCTCCCCCTTTCGAGCTTTTTCGTCTCACGAGCCGACCGGAACATTGTCGATTAGAGGCTAGTTCTTCTTGTGTTTGGGGCCGATGGCTTGTGGGTTGCAGTCATTGAGTGCTGATTGAAGGTGATCGTGTGTATTGAAAGCTTAATCGGGGTCGAGGGTCTCATATCTGAATAGCCATAGTCGATTTGGAGTGTGGAATTTTTGTAGTAGTATTATTTACTCTGATTGAACTCTTCTATGTGGATTATTGTCCATTTGTTGTTCAATTAGGACTTTATCGTTTTGTTTAAGTGTGTGGTAGTTGTTTTATTTATTTATTTATATTTTTTCTTTAAAATTTTCAGAGTCGTTTAGTCTTCTTTTTGGAGTTCAGTTGTGTAATCCAAAATAGTGGATCCAGTCTTTGTATTGATTCTACATCGGGTACTCTTTATGAATTTTCCAATTTTAATATAATTAGAAAAAAAAAGTAACAACTATTTTGATAAACTTGCAAAACATGGACAAACTTATACACAAAATTTAGCCAATCAAGTAACAACTATTTTGATACTTAAACAAACCAAGGCACTGAAAAATAAATGGTGTAATTTATGGTTCCAACAACCGAACACTGTAACTTGGTGGATATGTCTATTTCAGTTTGGTATTTTCACTTAAAATTTGATTTAGTGATAATCAATATTGTCACTTCAAAAAAATTGAACATAGAAAATGGTGAATAACACATCTAAATCAATTTTGTCCCTTAANTAGAAGATAGTGAATAACACATTTGCAAGACGAGTAGAACCGTCACCCAATAACATTTATTAATATCTGCTCACTACATATAAAATTAAAATTTACTCCCCCAAACCAAATTACACCCTTAATCAATATCCTAACAATTCGCCCCATTTCTCTTAATTCTAACTATGAACTGAAAATGATGTCGAAATTTGAGCCTTGAATTGGTACACTTACACGGTACACTTCTTAGTTCTTAATCAAAAATGATATTGAAATTTGATCCTTGAATTGGTACACGTACACTACTTAGTTTAATCAAAGTAAAGGATGTTGCGTGAGAAAGTGTGAACGTACCCCATAATTTTGACAAATGAAAAACATTATCATGCTTTGATTTGCGAGACCAAATCAGGAACATGCAATGTATATCCTCGAAACATTAAACTAAAACCATGATTTATATATACAATAATTGTTTGGTTAACATAAATAATCCATTATTATCCAAAAGTAACCTTGATTTATTGTTTGGTATCCCTAATTGCCAACCTTGCCATGTGCAATCACCTCAAGCACATGGATTCCAATTCCTTTTTCCCCATCTTTACAACCTAATAAGTAATAAACAACTTCTCACACCAACAAAACACACCCAAACTTGAAANAATCAAATACTCTTTCTTTCCTTCTCTCCAAACTCTAATTAGATGGAGCAAGTAATTCAAACAAGGACCAAAACATGCCTCCTCTTCTTCTTGATCTCCTCTTATGTCTTAATCTCATTGCTCGACAAAACGATGCAAGCCTCGTTGGCGCCACTTGTCCTTGTCTTATTGGTCGCGATCCTAGTCGTGTTTGCCGTGCGGACAACGATCGTGACATGGATAACTGTGATGGTTCTGCTGGCGTTTGCTGGCAAACGGCGTCGGGTTCTGGTTAAGGAAGGGAGAAAGATCACGTCTGACGTGGCAATGTCTCTCGTTAGGTCTTTTTTTTCTTAAATATGTCATAACTTTTTTTCTTGTCATGACTCTTGCTTTTTGTACATTAGGAAGCATCTATAATTAAGGAATGTAAGAATTTCCAAAGTGTTGTATATATAATTAGGATACTTTTTTTTCCCCCCTATGTATCTTGTTGGTTTTTCTTTTGGAAGTTTTCCTTTTTATGTATTTTTTTTGCAGTGTAGGGATATTTGAGATTCTTCTTGCAAGAAAATTTAAAGAATAGATCATTGATATGTAACAGCTTTGGCTTGGAAACTCAAATTTCATTCGTGCTAGTGGAGGGTCATGGGTAGAGGTGTTAAACGAGTCGATATCGAGCTCGAGCCGAGCACGGCTTTCGTTTTACTAAAGAGCCAGTAATATAGCTCGAATTTAGCTCATTTATCAATATTAATATTAATGAGATGTGATCGGGCCTTAAGCAGTCGAGATATAGAACATATACATATAGAGAGAAAAAAAGAAAAAACCTTTTGAGCTAAGTCGAGCTCAAGTTGTAGATGAATTGAGCTTTATTAACCAATTCAAACCTTACCGTACTGAGTCAAACTCAGAACCGTCACGTTTCATTTAGCCTCCAAGATGGCTCATCGGTTTGTGCTTAACCAGCATTTTAGCTTGGTTTAAAAAGAGCTGTCTTGGTAAGAGTTATCAAGGAAATGAATGTTTGATATTTTTTAAATAATAACTATTTTTCTCCAAAAAAAATTATTTGCTATTTCAAGAAATTAATTAAATAAATTATGGTATATTTCAAATGATCACATATCGTAATTGCGACATTATTTAAGGAAGTAATTAAGTCATATTTTAAGATACCTTAATTACTCAAATGTGAATTAATTATGGTATATAGTGGATGAATTTATTTTTGGTATTGATGGTTGCTTCTATAGGAAAAAATCACTTGTTTTATAACACTGCTTATTCGTGGGTTGTTGGCTCAGCTCAGCCAATCGCTTGCACAAGGGTCGTTGAACCATCTCAAAGACAACAACCACGTCAGGTCCATGCTGGACTAGATTAACCGTCTAGCCATGTGTCATCCTCGCATGCTCTTTCAAATCCCTACTGTTCCCTCCAACAGTTTGGACGCTGCATCAATACTCGTTCGCGCCAACCGAGGCCAACTCTTAGCCATTGACCATGCTTAAGTCCAACCATGTCTAATTAGTCATTCATCCAAACCATCAACCTTAGCCTTCCAATTGAGCCCACATGCATGTAAGGCGTTACACAACCCTATGTACAACCGTCTCGAACCGAACTCTCAATTTCACCGAAACCCTTAACCAGGTTAGGTCCATCCCCCAAGTGCATGACACATGGTCGAGATCAACCTATTCACTATTAAATGTATTAGAGCGAGTTGCTCAACTTCGTTGTCTAATATTCACAGGACCGAACCTCTAGTCATCCATAGAATACACTCATTTTCCCATTCAATTAGGACTTCTTGACAAGATAGTCAGGAACTTCCTAGATTTTGGGACACTCATCCCCTGTTTCGGCATTTCGCAACTCTGGCAAGTAAGTGTTCGTACATGCAACAAACCCACACACTCAAGGGTGTAACAGTTATATACTTTTTTGTGTTTATGTAAAAATGAAAAAAAAAAAATTATTATGTTCAAAATATATTTTGGCAAAGTAACGGTGGCAAATAGAGGTGGCCACCATGCAAGTTCGGTCCGTTGACCATGGTTCCAGACCCAACCTAGAACCAGTCCCACCCATCGGGTTTGGTGCCTAAAATTTTGATTAAGATTCGTTGGACTTGCTACAATTTAATATTAGTTGTTGGAACTTGTGTCTGTTGCAAGATGAACGACCAAAATTCGTTGGCTCGCAACTCAAGGATGGATGTGAATTTTCTTTATTGTTTTAAAAGGCACTTGAACCCACCGATTCGGCTCGAAATCGATGGATCCAAACGTGAAACTGAGGAGTTCTTGAACTGGAACCTCTACACTCCCGTGTCACTTGCAATTTCTTATTTTATGGCCCATTGATCCATCGGGTCAAGCCTAGGGCTGCAGACGAACCAAGCGGCTCGCAAGCCGCTCGCGGGCGCTCGAATCAAAGCTCGACTCGAGCTCGAGCCCATATTTTGCATTGTCGAGTAGCTCGAGATATATGTGAAGTTACTAAAATACCCCTTATATATATATATATATATATATATATATATATATATATATATATATATATATATATATATATATATATATATATATATATATATATATATATATATATATATATATATATATATATATATATATATATATATATATATATATATATATATATATATATATATATATATATATATATATATATATATATATATATATATATATATATATATATATATATATATATATATATATATATATATATATATATATATATATATATATATATATATATATATATATATATATATATATATATATATATATATATATATATATTAGCATAAGTGCTGTTGATGCACGAAATTTGATCAACGTAACTCGATTTGTATATATTGGATTTCTGTATATTATTATGAACTGAATGCAAGATTGAGAAAAAATCAAGAATCAGAAGATAAGAAAGAAGAAGCTCTGCACCGCCTCTAAGCTGTGATAAGGAAGAGAAAAAAAATTAAAAAAGGCCCTTTTGACTTATCTGTCTACGTCCATCATCGGGACTATATAAATATGAGTAAAACAATTGATTTAATACATATTCACGTGTAATATTTTAATAGGCGAGACCAAATTGAGTATCAACAAGTATTTAATGGTAATTTTACTTTCTCATTTAAAAATTTTCGAGCCGAAGCGAGCATTTTGATTTCGAGTCGAGCTCGAGCTATTGTAATCTTTTATCGAGTCGAGCTCGAGCCTCATAAATTGAGCTCGGGCTCGAACAGCTAAAAAAAATTCAATCATGCTCGATAAGGCCAACGCTCGACTCGGTTCGACTCGTTTGATCTTCTTAAGTCTTAACTTCACAACCTTCAACTAGGACAA